TCATTGTTATTTGGTGGGCCTGGGCTTTGAACTCGCCACCTTGGGTGTATGTGGCTGGCACCTTAGCCGCTTGAGCCACAGGCGCCGAGCCACTTCTCCACATTTTAATTAACTTTTTGTACAGTAGCTGTCTAAATACTGAGGACTAAATTGGCCAAAGTTATGATGCTAATGCTTAAGATTTGTGTTTTCCATGTTATGTCAAGCACAGGGCTGATACATGAGAGCGCTGGCTCTGGAGGCGGGTGACATAGTTAAACATCTCAGTTCTCCCATTGCTGCTCACGAACTTTGCATCAGTGCCCATCTGTCAAAACAGAAAAACAGCAACTACAGAGTTGCAAACAGTGAAAATATGAATATACCTATGTATTATAATTGGCACCGACAGGTTGAGTATCCCTTATCAGACATGCTTGGGACCAGAATTGTTTTGGAATTGGGGTAGATATCTTTTTCTTTTTTTTTTTTTTTTTTTTTGAGACACTGTCACTATGTCACCCTCAGTAGAGTGCTGTGGCATCACAGCTCACAGCAACATCAAACTCTTTGGGCTTAAGCGATTCTCTTGCCTCACCCTCCCAAGTAGCTGGGACTACAAGTGCCTGCCACAGCACCCATCTATTTTTTTGTTAGAGTTGTCGTTGTTTGGCAGGCCTGGGCTGGGTTTGAACACGCCAGCTCTGGTGTATGTGGCTGGCGCCCCAGCTGCTGAGCTACAGCACTGAGCCAAGGTTTTTTTTTTTTTTTTTGGTTTTTGCCATGTACTTGGTGAAGGCTTTCATTCTGGAGACCAGTATTTTCCTGTTTGGAGACAGGAAAGCATATCTTTGATAATTTTCTTGTTTCTCTTTCTGGATCTTCTATTATTAGGTATCAGATCTAGAGGATTAATTCTCTGAATTTTATAAATTCTTCTTTATTGTCTATTTCTTTGTTTTCTTTGTTCTGTTTTCTGAATATTGCTTTTTAACTTTTCATTCCATTGAGTTTTAAATTTCAGCTATCATGTTTTCAGCTTTTACAAGTTTGAGCTTTTCCTCTGTCCCTTGTTTATAGCCTCCTGTTGTTCCTTCATGGATGTGAAATCTTTCATCTTTAAGGATGTTAATGATTTTTAAAAAATATTTTTTATCAGGTGGCGCCTGTGGCTCAGTGGGTAGGGCACTGGCCCCATATACCAAGGGTGGTGGGTTTAAACCCGGCCCCGGCTAAACTGCAACAAAAAAATAGCTGGGCGTTGTGGCGGGTGTCTATAGTCCCAGCTACTCAGGAGGCTGAGGCAAGAGAATCACCTAAGCCCAGGAGTTGGAGGTTGCTGTGAACTGTGATGCCACAGCACTCTACTGAGGGCAATAAAGTGAGACTCTGTCTCTACAAAAAAATCTATCTATCTATCTATCTATAGGCTCAGTGCCTATAGCTCAGTGGTTAAGACACCGGCCACATCCACCGAGGCTGGTGGGTTCGAACCTGGCCTGGTCCAGCTATACAACAATGACAACTGCACCAAAAAAATAGCCGGGCATTGTGGTAGGCACCTGTAATCCCAGCTACTTGGGAGGCTGAGGCAAGAGAATCACTTGAGCCCAGGAATTTGAGGTTGCTGTGAGCTGTGACACCATGGCACTCTGCCAAAGGCAACATGAGACCGTCTCTAAATAAATAAATAAAATATTTTTTTATGTGGTCCCTTTATTGTCCTTTTCTTTCACATACTTTTTTTCTCTCCTTTTCTGATATTTTTTTCATCTTAGAGCTTTTCTTAAGTTTTCTAATGATTGTACGCTTTTATTATTTTTATTTAAGAGTGAATCTGCAAACTTTGTGGGGCTATGTGGGGCTTATTGACAAAAGTATTGACAGAGGATTCCCAGATGATAGTTATGTCTTCTGGGATTGTCCAGTTCCTACAGAGAAGACGCCCTCTGTCCGTCTGTGTTCTGGGAGCAGGTTGGAAGGACAAAGGCGAAGGATCGTCCTGTTCAGTGTGACTTTCACATCATTCCAGTCTAGCATTTCCCTCTGTGTTCTTCTGTGCCAGTATGTACATGAACGCTTCGCCTGCTTACCTAAGGGCCTAATGAGGGTTAATTGCCGGGGGTGTGCAGGTAAGAAAGACGTGTGTGTCTTACTCCTCCTTCCGGTGGGCTTCAGAGCTTCTATCCCATCTCCTGTAATAGCTCCAAGTTCTACCCTCTTGCTACCATTGGCTTTTTGTTTTCCAAACTTCTGTTGCCATCTTCTGTGGTTGTCTTCTTTTTGCTCATTCTTGTTCTTGAGATCGTTCCTCTCTTTAGTAGTTTCAAGAGAGAACATAAGGCACATACTTAGCCAGATGCCTCCGCTCCTTTCTCTTTTGTAGTCTCTGTAGAGCACCTCTGCTGGTTCTTGTTGGGACTTCCCCACAATGATGTGAGTTCATCCTGCACAAATCATTTGTAGTTGAGGGGAGACCCAGGCAGTGTTATGAGTTTTCCCTCTGAGTTCTTTCAGCCTCTGTTTCCCCTCTAGGCAGTGAAGATTGGCCGCTGGATGGCCCTTTGCAACACCCTGCTTTGCTTACTGGCTGCTGCTGCTGCTGCTGCTTCTTTTTTTTGTAGTTTTTTTGTCCAGGGCCAGGTTTGAACCCACCACCTCCGGTATATGGGACTGAACCACAGGCACTGCCCCTTACTGGCTTCTTTAAGACAGTACTTGATGAGTATTCCTTCTCTGACCCCAGCCCACAGTGTGCTGTTTTCATTTCAGAAAGGAAAGATTCTTGGTTTTGCTCCCCAGGGGTGTCGGATCCGCTATGCAGGCAGCTCTGGAGATGTTTACTTTGGTGTCTTCGTCCTATTTCATCTTCCTTGTCCTTGGCAGACTTTCTCACTGTAGATAATGGTTTGTATTATTAGAGATGGAGTTTGAGGTTTCTTTTCCTTGTTTTAAGTGATTTCTGCGAAGAAGGCAGAAAGTTTATCCTTTTGTCTCTTCCTGAATATGTATTCCCATTAATTTCACTTTTTTTTATTAGTTTCTATCTCTTTTTCTTTTTGATGAATAAATAATTTATTTCATGGATGTTAAACACTCTGTTTACCCTTTTATCAGTCGATGACACTGAGTTTGTTTTTACCCATGGCCTTGTGTGCAATGGCAGTGTAATTATCTGTAGGCAACCCTCTATATGTAGATAGATGTGTTTTCACTTCCTGGGGAGTGTAAATAGGAGTAGAACTGTAGCGACATCTGGTAACTGTGTAGTTAATTGTTTGAGAAACTACCAAACTATTTTACAAAGCAGTTGCAACATTTTACATTTTCATGAGCAGTTGGATGAGGGTTCTGACTCACACCTTTCTAACAGTCATTACACATGAACCTGCCCCCCTCGGTATATGGGGCTGGCGTCCTCCTCACTGAGCCACAGGCACCGCCCCTGTTTTAGCTTCTCGATAGTGTCTCTTGAAGTTCAGAACTTTTATTGGAATGAAGTCCAATTTATGTACTTTTTACTTATTATTTATGTGTTTGGTGTCATATCCAAAAAAAAAAAGCTAAAACAATGCCAGAATGAAAGAAAGTATTTGCAAATTATATCTGACAGTACTTCTGGCAAGAATATTTAAGAACTCTTGCATGCTAGTAATAAAGAAAGATATCTCTCTCTCTCTCTCTCTCACATACACACACACACACACACACACGCGGAAAGAACGGTTCAAATTCAAGGCATTGGCAATTCCAAATCCAAATGCTGGCAAGGATGTGAGTAATTAGAATTCTTGTTCACTGCTGGTGGAAATGGAAATTTTTGCAGCCATCTTGGAAGGGAGTTTGGCCAGTTGTTTTTCTCTTTAAGCTAAATATAGTGTAATTGTACAATCCACAAATTGGCCTCCTAGGTATTTACCCATATGCCCACACAAATGTTCATAATACCTTTATTCATAATTTCCATAAATTGGAGGCAACCAGGATGTCCTTCAGTTGGTGTATGGATAAACAAACTGTTAATTCATATGATGAATGAAATGATTTATCGAGAATTAAAAGGCATGAAGAAATTTTTTTTTTTTTTTTTTGGAGATAGAATCTAACTCTGTCTCCCTGGGTAGACTGCCCTAGCATCACAGTTCACAGCAATTTCCAACTCTTGGGCTTAACCGATTCTCTTGCCTCAGCCTCCAAAGTAGCTGGGACTACAAGTGGCCACCACAACCCCTGGCTGTTTTTGTTGTTGTTATTGCAGTTGTCATTGTTGTTTAGCTGGCCTGGGCTGGGTACAAACCCGCTACCCACGGTGTATGTAGCTGGCGCTGTAACCACTGCGATGGCGCCGAGCTGGATAATTATCTATTACTGTGCTAAAGGAACCAGTCTCAAAAGGCTAACTGCTGTATGATTCCAAATATATGACATTCTGGAAAGGATAAAACTATTAAAAGTATACAAAAGGGTAAGTGTTTTCCAGAGTGCAGGAAGAGAGGGATCAGGATAAAAATGTGGAATATAGGATCCTTTTAGGGCAATGAAATTATTTTATACAGCATTATAATGCTGGATATGTGAAATGATGCATATTTCAAGGTTTACATAGCTGTAAAATACAAACAGTGGAGAATGTAGACTTTACCTAATAATAATGCATAAATATTGGTTCCTCCATTGTAAGAAATAGAGCATATTAATGCAAGATGTTAATAGGAACAGTTACAATCAGGGTGGAACAGAAATATCTGGACTCAGTGCTTTCCACTCTTCTTTTCTGCAAACTAAAAGTGTTCTATGAATATTCTATAAAAAGAGTACAATTTTTTGTATTTAACATATTTAATTGACGAATAAGGATATACATGCAAGGTATAGTTTTTGTCTCTTAAAGTGAAATTTTCTTTATATTGTTCTCCAAGTCCAAGCCTGTTTGTTTTTAAAATATATGTATATATACTCAATACAGCTAAAATTATGACAACATGGTACCAAAATGCTTAATTTTTACTTATTTTTTTTAGGCAAGATCCACCACCAACATGCTCTCAGCCAGACAGTGATGATGAAGCAGAAGAAATACAGGTTAGTACAAGATAATCTGTTCTTTAGACTGTTCTAATTTAAATTACCTCTGAAATGGTTCTAATATTTAGAACTTAACCTTACATTTGATGAAGTGAGAAATTAAATGGTAATCTCATTTTGTCATATTTTTACACATAATATATATTCAGGAAAAGATATTTCCTGTTTCTGTATAATTTTTAGGTGAAGCACTGCTTTGGGGAAGCCCATGAAGCATTTAAACGTAATGTTTTGTTTCTGTTCTCTTTTCCACACAGTGGTCTGATGATGAGAACACAGCCACGCTCACGGTAAGCGTGACACACCATCACATAAGGATGAGAGCTTCAGGGTTTAAGTGGTACCTCTTGAAATTCCCAGATCGTCACCGTTTCAAGTATCTTTTTCTTTGTGGACTGGTCTTTATTATTTCAAAAAAGAACGTGAATCATTGTAATTTGCTCTCTTTTCCCTTTGTCACAAAGGAAGTATTTTACAGTCATACTGACTTACTCCTCTTAAGCTCTGCGGGAAAGAATCAAACCTAAATTAAACTCTCTGGTCCCCTATTGTGTGAAACCTAAATTAAAGTGAAAAATCTATATTTACTTATTCAAGTATATTCAAGTGACATGAAAATTAGTTTAAGCAAAAACAGAAAAATATGTGACTTTAAGCAATGTTTTGTATACTATATAAAAATAAGAGAAGTTGGTCAAGATAAGAATGCTGCCTGTAATCTTAGTACTCTGGGAGGCCTAGGAGGGCTGATCCCTTAAGCCAAGAGTTCAAGACCAGCCTGAACAAGAAATAGGGACCCCGTCTCTACTAAAAATAGAAAAACTAGCTGGGTGTGGTGGCGGGTGCCTATAGTCCCAGCTACTCAAGAGGCTTGAGGCAAGATTGCTTGAGAGTTTGAAGTTGCTGTGAGTTATGATGACACCATTGCCGTGAGACTCCATCTCACAAAACCCCCAAAATTTAAAAAACAAAAAACATCTACTCTCTCTAAATGAGTGTGGTACCTGGTGCTCGGGTTGGGGAGGTTGGAAGGATGGCTAAGTGAGAGGGGAGTCTAGATGAGCACAGGACACCAGATGGAAGGAGTGCTTCCCACTGGCAATAGAAACTTTTTCCAGACAGCTGAGATGTTACACTTATTTTAAATTGGTTGGTTGAGCTATGAGCTTAAAACCAAAAAGATATATTAGTTAAATCTGTTTATAGATAATTTTCAGAAAATGTTAAAATCATGATTCCCATGTAGATATAAAAGTCTTTAAGGCATACTGAAGATTTCTTTAACTCATGAGGGAACCAGACAAATGTTAGAACAAGTTCAAAAGAGAATCCAAGAAGAAGACCTAAATTTATAGTTCAGGAATATTGAAATGGTGTAAATGAGCCCAAACTGGATTTACTTCCTTCCAGGGTGGGAGACAAAGCAAACCTCTTCAGATGAGGTAGCATGTCCGTAAGAATTAGTTCACATTGCTCTCATTTACTCACAGTTTGCCAAGTTATGAAATAGCTCCCAGACCCAGGGAGCTGGTAATCAGGTAATCCCCAAGGGTGCGTAGTATGTGGACAGTACATGGTCTTCTTCTGAAAACTTTGAGTAAATGTTTTATACTTCACGTTAGTTTCAGGGTCCTTACAGCAGGACTTTTTTTTTTTTCTTTTTGAGACAGAGCCTCAAGCTGTCACCCTGGGTAGAGTGCCATGGCATCATAGCTCACAGCAACCTCCAACTCCTGGGTTCAAACTAGTCTCCTGCCTCCACCTCCCAAGTAGCTGGGATTACAGGTGCCTGCCACAATGCTTGGCTATTTTTTGGTTGCAGCTGTCATTGTTGTTTGGTGGACCCAGGCTGGATTCGAACCTGCCAGATCAGGTGTATGTGGCTGGTGCCTTAGCTGCTTGAGCCACAGGCACCGAGCCCAGGATTTCTAATAGTTGAATGATTTTGAGACTTTGAGGGAACTGATCACATGTTTTTAAATGCGGTAGTGGCTGGGTAGAAGATGGAGGATCCTTTGAGTCCAGAGGTTTGAGACCAGCCTGGGCAACATTGCAAGACCCCCCTCTACAAAAAATTTTAAAAGTTAGCCAGGCATGGTGATGCACACCCATATTCCCAGCTATTCAAGAGGCTGAGCCAGAAGGACCAGGTGAGCCCAGGAGTTTGAGGTTATAGTGGGCTACAATGGTGCCTCTGCACTTAAGCCTAGGTGACAGCCCAAGACCTTATTTCTAAAACAAATGAACAAACAAGTGCAATATATAAATATAAAGCAATCCTCAGTTGTCAAGTTTAATGGGATAGAAAAGTTAAATTGTCTGTCTTTGAAGGTTGAACCCCTTCATACTATAACATTTGTGTAATTGCTCTTGGTAGGGAATGTTGCCAGTCCAGATCTTAGGTAAGTGGTATTTCTGGGCAGCACTGTATGGACCCAGGTCAGCAGCTTCAGGTGATTATGAGAAAATTATTAGCTTAACATAAATCACAATTCCTTTTGAGAGGGAGAGGTGAATGGAAAATAAAATCTCTTAATGCTATTACTTATTTTGAAAGCCTCTCTAAGTTACTCTAGTTTCACACATCTAAGCTGAAGAAGGAGTCTAGTGGGAGGCAGAGGCTGTGGCATCCTTTCAAATAATTAAAAGATACGTTGTTAACCAGCCCAGTGGTTAGATTTATCTGCCGCAGAAGGAAAGGTGCTATTTTGAGATATTTTGAGATAACACTAGCCTTTTGCTTTTTAGTTTGGGGTATATATTACCATTTTTTTTAAACTTATGCCTTGGGCAGTGCCTGTGGCTCAGTGAGTGGAGTACAGGCCCCATATACCGAGGGTGGTGGGTTCAAACACGGCCCCTGCCAAACTACAACAAAAAATAGCCTGGTGTTGTGGTGGGCCCTTCTGGCTCTAGCTACTCAGGAGGTTGAGGCAAGAGAATCGCGTAAGCCCAGGAGCTGGAGGTTCCTGTGAGCTGTGGTGTCACAGCACTCTACTGAGGGCAACAAAGTGTGACTCTATTTTGAAAATAAATAAATAAAAATAAACGTATTTCTTTGGTCTGTTTCTCAGACTCTTTGTCGGGAGCCCACAGTGAACCCTGACTTGGGTTGGGAGATGATGCGGGTGGGGGAGGTAATGAGACTTGACACTAACTTAATGCATACAATCTGAAAGCCAGGAGAGAAGCTTGCCTTGACTTGCACCCCACGTGGCAGATTGAGAAGGTGCAGTGACTTTCTGACTTCTCAGAAACCTTTTATTGGTCTATAACACAGAATGTAAAGGTGCCCAAATTCTCATAGGATTAGAAGAATTCCAAGCCCCCAGGGAGATTGGATAAAGGAACTGGCCAGGAACACAAGGTAGTGAGTTATCAACAGTGATGTATTTAGAAACGGGGAGGGAGGCTCAGTGCCTGTATAGCTCAGTGGCTAGGGCGCCAGCCACATACACCAGAGCTGGCAGGTTCGAATCCAGCCTGGGCCTGTTAAACAACTATGATAACTACAACCAAAAAATAGCCGGGCATTGTGGCGGCTGCCTGTACTCCCAGCTACTTGGGAGGCTAAGACAAGAGAACTGCTTAAGCCCAAGAGTTTGAGGTTGCTGTGAGCTGTGAACTCCCCTCAGGGCAACAGCTTGAGACTGTGCCTCAAAAAAAAAGGGGAGGAGGGCAAAACAAGTTTCATTCCTGCAGGGCACAGATCAGGAGTTCAGAGGATTTAGCCCTGCTAAGGGCTTAAGCAGCCTACCTGCTGACTCCAAGGCAGGAGTAGTGGCCGTGACTTTGCCCTGTTAGGCACTTCAGGGCTCCTCTCATCTTGGGTGGTCTTGACAAGCCCCCCCCCCCCCACCCAGGGATGGCCCATCTGCCGGCTTTACCTGGAATTGAGGCGGGTACCGTGCAGAAAGATCAGCCTGTCTACCTCCCACACTCTTGTCAAAGTTTCTTTTCCCTCATAACTGAGGTAGATCTTGGGGATCCACATGAGCAGTTAATTTAATTTCATAATTCCTAGTCTAATTAATTCTAGACCTAGCCTGTTTTTTCCTTAGGGAAGAAGTTGCTCACTGGATTTTTTCACAACTTGCAGTTGCCCATTAGGGGGCAGCAGTCCCCTTTACATGGGATAATGGGAAGAAGTATGCAGAGAATTTGTGTTAGTGTTTCTCTATTTCTGTCTCCCCTAAAGGCATCTCTCTTCCTTTCCCTTTCTCTACCTTATGTCCGTGAGCTCCTTTGCTAATGACCTAAAGTTTAAGGCAGGGTCTAATGGCATCAGGAAGCTTAAGTTCCTGTTTAACAGCCATATTTCTGTTTACTTCTTAGTTGATTGGAACATGTAGAGTATTTTGTATATACGTATATATTATATATTATCTTACATATTTTATATCAACCAAAAATGAGAGAACATTTTAATTTGACCAAAGTCCTACTTTTGAAACTTGTCTAAGCCCAGCATGGTGGTGTCCATCTGTAGTCCCAGCTATTTAGGAGGTTGAAGCAGGAGAATCCCATGAGCCTAAAAGTTTTGAGTCCAACCTGGGGCAGCATAGCAAGACCCCATCTCCAAAAGCAAAAACTGGAAACCAATAAAAATTTACTTGTCTAGACATAGTAGTATTTAAATACAGTTTACCACACATTATTTATTTTTTTTTTTTTTTTTTTTTTTTTTGAGAAAGCCTCAAGCTGTCACCCTGGGTAGAGTGCCGGTGGCATCAAAGCTCACAGCAACTTCCAACTCCTGGGCTCAAGCGAGTCTCCTGCCTCAGCCTCCCAAGTAGGCGCCTGCCACAACGCCCGGCTATTTTTTGGTTGCAGCCGTCATTGTTGTTTGGAGGCCCAGGCTGGATTCGAACCCGCCACCTTAGGTGTATGTGGCTGGCGCCTTAGCCGCTTGAGCCACAGGCGCTGAGCCTTATTTTTCATTCTTATGAAGCCTTTTGGGAATACTCTATGTCCAAGATATGTCCTGCAAATGGAAAGGGTTCTGCCCCTTTAAATGCGGGTGTTATTTCTAAAAACTGGAGTGTATGTACAGGTGATATTCTACCTGTCTCCTTTCATTTGATAAATACTGGTTTTGTATAGGTGTACAGAGAACTATTCATTCCTTCCTCACATCCCCGGATGCCTAGTGACATCCGTCCTTAGTTTTGTGGGTTTGATTGTCTTGGAAAATGCCTTTGAGTAGCTGATTGTTTCATTTCTCTAACGGGTAAATATTCTTGATCATTGATTCTGTTTAACTGGGTTCAAAAAATTCTGATAGTAATTTGTATTCTAAATTCTGCTTTTAATACCCTAAGCTTTAACCATGAGATTTTGATCTTGTTTTCCCTAGTGACTGTGATGATATTGATGTGCGTAAATGATTTTTTCTTTCTCTCTGTAGGCACCAGAATTTCCTGAGTTCACCACTAAAGTCCAGGAAGCTATCAACTCCCTGGGGGGCAGTGTTTTTCCTAAACTTAACTGGAGTGCCCCAAGGGTAGGAACACATAATTAAATCTCTTTTGTTTGAATAATCTTTATTTTGCTATTCATTTCATTTTATATGTCCCAGAAGGTCTGATTATATTTCTAATTATAGGAAACTACAATGTGAAATTTATTATTTCCCCTCTATTATTTTCCTGACTTTGCTATATATTTGGGAATACTCTGTGTCCAAGATATGTCCTGCAAATGGAAAGGTTTTTGCCCCTTTAAATGGGGGTATTATTTCTAAGAACTGTGAGGTACTATGCATTCTGCTAAAAGATAACTTTTACCTCTGTGTTGCTGATTGTGCTAGAATTCTGAGGAAAGTTTTACTCTGTTCTTTTTAAAACTTTAGCTGTTCAATTTAACATAAATATTTCTCTGTTTAAAATAATAAAAATTAGAATGTGACAGACTATATAAATAGAATAGGTTGAGAAATCAAGTGGTGTTTTCTTAAGTGTGTTTTATTATTTTAACACTGCATTGACAAAATTTTTGTAAAAGTTAAGGCCTGTAGAAAAATTCTCTATTTTTTTCAATCCAACAGAGAGTAATTTTACGTGAGCAAAACTCATTGGAGGAATCAAAGTCTTACTTGTATTTTCAGAAATCATCTTGGGCTTTTCTCAGATTGTCTCAGTAATAACTTGTAATCTAAGTATATTTTTACTTTTTAAAAGAACATGTACAGAGTTTGAAATTTCAAATAGATTTGGAAGCTTGCTGCACAAATCAAATGATCCTGCCACCTGCTTTACTTCACCCATTCCTGCTCCCAGACGCAATTCATTCTTCTGTTATTTTTATTTTTCAGGTTAGGTATTTATTATTTACTTCCCACTCAAACAGAGATACTCAGCTCTCTTTCATATCAGATCCCTTCTACTTTCTATTCCACTATTCTCATCATAGTTATCAAATTTTGATGGCTCGGTATTCAGCATTTCTAATTACTGTGATGGTTCAAACACTGTATACGCATTTGGAGTCTGTGTGTTTTCTCTGGAGTTAGTAATTGCCTTGTTGGTTCAGCTGCGTAGTTTGCCACGTACATACTGTTTCCGTGGAATTAACTGTGTGTGTTCAATCTACTGTCTTTAGAAGTTCATCTTTTTCATTGGGAGAAATCATAAAGAAGTTACTGAGCTCATTTATAGTTCCTTGCAGTCAACTTTTCATTTGTATCTGTGCAATATCTTTAATTATTTTCTTGCTACTGAATTGGGTTGAGGCTTTTCGCTTAAGATGAGTAAATTATTTGTGGTTGTAAATTACTCATTTGTTCATCAATCCGTTATTTTATTTATTTTTGAGACAGAGTTTCCCTCTGTTGCCCTCAGTAATGTGCCATGGCATCACAGCTCACAGCAACCTCCAGCTCTTAGGCTCAGGTGATTCTCTTGCCTCACCCTTCCGAGTAGCTGGGACTACAGGCGCCCACCACAACACTCGGCTATTTTTTGTTGCAGTTTGGCCAGGGCTGGCTTCAAACCCACCATCCTCAGTACATGGGGCTGGTGCCCTACTCACTGTGCCACAGGTGAACCCCCCCCATCTGTTATTTATTGAGTGCCTACTGTGTGCCAGTATTTTCTTCCTAAGCCGGGCTAATCTTCCTTTTTATGTTCATATTATGAGACATTCACCATTTAAAGTTTTGATGGCTTAGAATATCTCACTTCCATCTCTCCCAAATTTGGTAGAGGAGCTTAACTGCCCCAACTATCAAAGTTCAGGTACATGGCTGAACACAGATTCCCCACCAACAGAAAGGAGGGAAGTGGTCTCTTTTTTTCTTAGAGGTTGGTTGTTCAGGCTGTTTCTCTACCACTTTAGTCTTTTAGCTCAAGTGTCGGTGTTTCTGGTACCTTATGCTCCCTTCTTCCATCATCACTAAGAAAAACAGTAGGAAGTGCTCAGGCCTGGGCTGAAACCTGGGGACCTGAGCATCTCAGTGTTCATAACCGAGTGATGTGCAATAGTGATGCTCTGTGTTGTTGAGAGATGTAAGTTAACATCTGACAGTACTGCTAAAATGTACTTGAGTTTTTTT